GTTGGCTCGTGGGGACTTGAATGTAGTACCGAATATGCTGTGATGGCTGGCGCGGGAGGTGTGCCAAAGGGGAGCGCTGAGGACGCCACTCAAAAGAAGGGAGGGGCAGTGTAATGCTTTGTTTATGTGACCATATGACGTTTGGCGGTCACTTTGGATTTGTCTGGCACCTGTGCATGTGGGTTGGCATTCGGGGCTTAGGTCCTATTTGTCCTGTCGTCTTCGGTATACATCTATTCAATCTAATTTGTGCCTTCTTCTACCCTATGGGAAGCCTAGCGACGCTATATTTACTGTTATATATTCTATTTTGTTTAAGTCGACTTTTATAGGTGAGAGGCGGGAGTGCATTGGGAACGTGGATCACGGGCGTGAAGTGAGCGGAGACCCTCCGTCTGATTGATATCTCTTCCTCACCTCATCTGTATTCCATTCCCCATCCATCCTAACAGCGATGCCTAATAAATCGTCTACAACCAACTTCCTCTTGAAGTCTGAGAATCAGGGACCAGAGGGTAGACAAGGCGTAACTACAGTTATAACCTCGCTTTTACCTATTCCCTCTAAATACATTCATTCGGCTATGTCCACTGCCTTCCCCCTAAAAACGGGAAATTTCTGGGGTTAACAAGCATTGGAAATTGTAGAGTCGTTTGGTCAGTGGAACCAAAAGCATAGACGAAGCCGCTTTTTGAGGCTAAACTGCTACTGGATGCAAAGAAACAAGAATAAAGATTGTGTTTACCAACTGCATTGTACCTCTATTCCAAGCCTTTGTACCTAGCAATGTTTGAAAAAATAGCTCTTAACTAAGTAATCAATAAACGTAATCCAGCTTTCTAAAATAGCGAGATCTTAGCCCATAAGTCATTTCTTTGCAAATTTTTTTCGGGACTTAATACCAATTGTTGATTTTTGTTTTTATTGTCTGATTGTCATGTCATCATATTCGAAGCCATTCAGTTATTGCCGTTTATGTAGTAGTTTTGTGCTTTTGGGTCCCAATGATGGCTGATGTCATCTGTATTTGATTTTGTTGTAATTTTCTTATGAAGTTGGCTTTTTTGGTCTCATTCTCTGCCATCGATTGCCGACGGAGGTTTGCGTGATTTGTGTGGACGTCCTTTCTAGTTTTATTGATGACTCATTCTTTCGAAGTCGCGGGCAAGAAAGATGCGCCTAGTCGAATCCCCGTCATCTGTATCGATAGCAACTACTGTCCAGATATATTAACTCAGGAGTCACCTCCATCCGGTCAAAAACTGTCGACCTTTATGTCTGATGGCGAATTTGTACCTGAACGGGGTCTTTCTTTCCGTCATCAGGTTAGTTAGATCCTTGTTAATCTACTGTAGGCTTCTCAATTTGTTTGCTGGTTTAATGGACTGACTCCGCTGAAGCAGTTCCTCTTCACTACACTGTCTTTGCAGCATATTAGTAGCGAATATTTGAAATTGTTACACGCTGTGACAACTGATAGATTGTCTGAAGAGTATCAGAATATCAATGTTGCAGCAAAAGCGAATGATATTGGTATGTTTTGCTATAGAATAATCGTGGTGGTTCCCTTCACTTTAGCTCATTTAAATAATCTCGATGTTATGTCCGATGATTTTTGTGCCACTATTCTGGATCTCCTATCTTCTCTCAGTATTCCGAAGGAGCGAGGTGCTGACTTTTCGAAAATCCATGACAAATATCTATCGCTTGTTGATAAGGCTCTCGAAAACACCACGCATCAGAAGCCGATATTCGAGGATGCATGTGACTCGCTAGAGGGACAACTTCTAATTACTGCAATGACTACACCACTCTTTACCTTAGATGATCGCCATTGGTTACAAAAGAATATCAAATCTCGCTGCGAGGCTTGTACTTCTTGGCAATCGACAGGTCTTTTGATCCTTGCAAATGATCTCTTGGAAGCATTAGAGCTCCATAAGGGCAACGCTGAGGGTTGTAAGGCAGTTATTAGCTTGATTTTTGCTTTTAATTATTTGCATTATCCTGTTTCATCCCTATTTACAGTTTTAGCCTCAGCTGAGTCGTCTCTGTCAAGAAGTTTTCGCAGCTGCAGTATAAATTCTCCATACCCATTTCTCCCGCGTTCACTCTATTCCTATTCCAACCGACGACACCATAGTTTGGTTCCTCCGGCTAGCGAGAACTCACTCATTGTTCCTTCTCTATTTGCATCACCACATCTTCTTAGCTCATCCTCCTCACCTAATTCATCGGGTTTTGTGTCCGGCAGTGAATCCATGTATCAGGGTTTGAATGAACCTTTGGCAATGAGTTCACGTGGTAATCGACTTGCTACACCATCGAATAGTCGGCTCTATCTTCTCAGACGCCAGTCTGCCTCACCATATACGCCTCAGGAGGGCGAGTTAAAGGAGGAAGATGATATCGCTCCCGCGACTGCCTGTAGCTCGGCCTTACCTGAACAAAACAGTTCTTTGTGCAGCTTTACTGTATCTACAAAGAGTGAGACCTCCCCAACAACGGCGTCCTCTGAGGTTAGTTAATTCCCTAAGAGTGCTTTTGTTCTCGGCAAATCGCACACCTTGACTGGTGAATTTTTTCTCCTTAGGAAGTTTTTCGTTACTCAAAGGATCACTTGGATCCATTATCATCGCCGCAGGAAAGCTCGAATATTCCATGCCTATCTGCGGTGAATCTTCCTTTTAAAACCTCTTCGACGATTGGTTTTGTGAGTAATATCTCTTCACCCAATGACTGTGATGATGGTAACGAGGTAGGCTTCCGACCTCCATCTACCTCACTCAGTGATCCATTTGGGGGTCATAAAACGTCACGATCGCGTCACAAATCTGTCCTTATTCAGGATATACAGGTTGAGGATCCGGGCATGGCTCGTAAGTACGCATTCCACCTTAATTGGATTTTACGTGTAATGAATCGATGTAAGCCTGTTCTTTTGCACGGTTAATTCCTGCGAATGCTAAGTCACCCCATTCTGAAATAGTTCCACTTCGGATTTTTGGATCCTAATGTAGGCAATGCTATGTTAGCACGAACGTCCCACGGAATGAGATCGGAAAGCCATGCACCCGTCTAACCATTTTTTTCTCTTTCAGAAGTTCCTGGTTGGTTGAAGAGTCTACGTCTGCATAAGTACATCGGGTTGTTTAAACGCCTCACCTACTACCAAATGCTTGGGATTACGGATGAATGGCTTCAGCGTCAGCATGTTACTCAAGGTGCACGAAACAAAATTCTCGTGAGTATAGCAAATCTGAACTCACGCTCTGCAACACTGGCTAACTTGGAGGTGCGCATTGAAACCATCATTCACAATCCATCTGCTCGTTGGTCAAATCTTCGAGGGTGTCTTAGCGAGCTTCGTAGCATCCTACAAACACCGTTTCCTCCTGCAGTAGCTAATCGAACCGCATCCTCGCCCCATTGCCTGTCCTCCACCTCCTCAGTTGAGGACAGTGCGTCAGCGACTGGAGCAGTTGGTCCTAATTTCGGCTTCAGCAGCGATGTGGAGGACTACGTAGATGAGGGAGCCGATGATGACGACGGAGGGTTTATGGACTTTCGTACCGCGTCAGGGATCCTGTGCCAGTGTCCCTGCACAAACTCGGATACCTGTCTCTTCGATCGCACTAATGCCCCAGGTGATGCTCATTCCCCAAAGCGGCCCAAGTCTAGCGAAGGAGGGGTCGTGACGACAAACCTCTTTTTCCCGACCGTACTTGCGGATACTCTGGATAAATCGCCTACGGTGCCGGACGCCTCGGAGGTTGTTCCAAAAACTGAGGGCTTGGAGGGCGAGAATTTGTCGGAACAAATTATGCGTTGCTTGGACCATGGTATGTCTATCGACTCATTCCATTACTGCTTCATGTATATGTTTGATCTTGAAAATGCGGTGTAACGACTCGCCTGAAAGCGAGTATTTGCTTTAACTAAAGTAATTGCATGATGTGCTGTGCGGAAGAAAGGTGCATTTGTATCTACCCGGATTTCAGCCTCCAAAGCATTGCTCTGTGATCCAATCGACGACGACAACTATGGATCCTTCATGCAGCTGTTAGCAACAGTTCTTGAACACTCGGTAAGCTTGAAACATCTATTAAATCATCAGTTCCTACTTCCCCTGCCAACTTCACAAATAGGTAACTTTCATGTCGTGTACGAAAGTTGGTTACGCTAAGACTCATCATTACTAAATTAAATGACCTTTGAGCAGAATAATGCACGTAGGATATCCTTGGTCATACAGTGCCTAGGTTTTGTTATTTTCCTTTTTTTGCCTGTTTACTGATCAGCGCTTTTGAGCCCTTGCTACAGTCCACCGCCTCAGTGCATAGATTTGCAAACATCAATCAATTTTGTTTATTGAACGAGTAAGTGTTCTTCTCTGGCCCTCTAGTGCTTGGAGCAGCTCGCCTCCTTCCGTTAACATTGTGGACCTTCGGTTTGCTAACTATCGACTAGTAAATTACAATCTCAACACATCACTGGCGTTAAACGTATCTACCATTCCTTACGTCACTTGTAATGTAATCTTAATTTTCGCACAAAATGTATATTTTTAAGCTTATCTTGGCTTTAGAAATAGTGTGCGCATACCTTTGCTACTAGGTCATCCGACAGGTTTGATTTCGATTCATAATCTTATTCTGTGCAATTAATCATTCAATTGCACCTGCGAACTATTGGTTGTGCACTTTTGTATCATCAAACTATTCGTGTCTATAGTCAGCGAATGCGACTGAAGGAAGGTAGGTGGGAAGGAAGGGCGGGAAATGAAATTTGGGGAAGACGTCTTTTTCACACTGCAATTTCCGATTCCATTTCGGGCCGAATGGTTCTAGGCCTGACTATTGTAGTCTATGCTTCTTCATAATAGCTCCGAAAAATGACATTTTTAATTGTCGGGCTACCCTCTATTTGCTGCACAAAGATTATCAACTTACTTATTGCCTGTTTAATAGCATTTAATGCAAATCTCTTTCATTTTCCTCATCTACTATCTTCAATTATTTCTGAGTTGAATTAAATTTGAATTGTTATGTGCTTCGTTTCTCGTAAGTCTTAGAAATGCTTTGGCTTTTTGATTAAGTCCTTCAGCCAAGCGCAAAAAGATCAGGTTACAGTCTGGCAGAAGCAAATGGTCGATTATTTGGGACCTGCACCACCATTACCACGCCGCTCATGCCATCATCATCATCATCATCGCCGGGCTGCCTCACGCCGCTCCTCTTACCATTACACCCAGTCTTTCGATTGTGGAGGGCCGTACTCAGTGCCCTATACGCCTCGTTCTAGTGTGGGATGCAGCGGATTTGCATCACGACCGTACTTTGCTTCTCCGGTGCGTCTTCCATACCTTCACCACCAACAGCAAACACACTCAAGCGTTCCCTTTGCCTTCTCCCAAGCGTCCCCAGGATTTAACAGTGGCGGTGGTGCTCGCTGGAGTAGTGGCATGGTGCGTGGTCGTAGCGCTGAGCCTGACATCTATCAACATCATCAGGGACCCTCACGGCCTGCGTTCCAGGAGCAGACGGCGACGCTTATAGCCACGCCTCAACATCGCGTGGCCAGCATGGACAGCCTCACTATCTCCACCCCTTACGGACTCACGGAGCCCAGAGTGGTGAGTTGCTTGTGCTGCTTGATGCTCAAGATTCCACATATTATCTCCCACGTCTTTCTGGATAAAATTGACGACACGCAGTGTGCTTAGTTTACTGCTGTATATGTTGGGGTTGCGACACTTCATCAAAGTAAGAATTTGAAGCATTGATCTCAATAACCGGTATCCTATTAGGGGATATTTTCTAGTCACTATTTATTAAGTACATACCTTCCCAAATCATACTCTCATATGAACGGTGTATTCACTGCACTATTCTGTATCTTTTATTGGCTGATGATTACGATGTATTATAGCGAAAGCTAGCTAGTAGTGGAAATATTGGCGGCTTTGCCGAAGACGATCTATGTGTGATCAACACAGAAGTACTGATAAGACTTACACCTGGCCGGGAAGGGGTCCACTGGCGGCGCCTTTAGTCCATTACCAAATCCAAATTAAATAAGTAATTGCTGTGCTAAAATTGAGATGCCGGATCCTCCTACTTTCAGTTAATCTTAGTCTTTCATAGGATATTTCTATTTCTATGTTTGTGACCTTTCGGGGCTATACAGTATCAGAGAAATAGCAATTTAGTATTTAGAAGTTCTCCAATTGTGTATCATGTGGATTTTACATCGTTTCTTAATCGAAAAAGAATTTTAACCGTGGTAGTGGCATCACATTCGTACCATTTTGCGTTCTATAACGTTGGTCACTTGAGGCTTGACATGGTGATGTTGGAGCACTGCAATGTGTTTTGATTCTGTAATCGCTTCCTTTATTTATGGCTCTTACCCTGATAGTTGATTGTCCTTTGTGCTCTGGCAGCCCATCCCAATTGAGTCAGCCATGGATAGTGAAAGACGATACAGTTTAAACTGTCTTGGACCTAAATCACGATCGTCTAACTTAGCTGCTTTGAAATTGCTTCAAGCAAATCTGTCCTTTATGACTTTTTCCTACCTCATCGGTAGCTTTACTTTTGTGGTATTTTACGTCGACTGCGTGAAAGATGCTTCTGTGGTTGAGCCATGCATTTGGTTAAGTAATTGTCGAAGGATTTATCACGAGCGTAACTTTGTTTTAAGTAACACCTGGTCGATAAAACGTTCACGAGTACTCTAGCTCTTTGGTGACCTTGCTCTTCTTTCATCTTACCGGGGCCTCGTTGAGCATGCGCTATGTTTCTGCCACTTTCACTGCCTGCTTATATTACTCAATATCGCTTTGTTCAGGGTGTCAGACTGATCTGTCTTCCTCCACCTCAATGTTGAGTTATGATTCTATACAATTTGAAATTACTGCATTTATTTCGATCGTTCTGTCAACTGTATTCTATATGTTAAACAGAAAAGCGTCAAACCGACTTCGTTTTCTGGTCCTTACAAGCAAATCAGTTAGTTGCGGATACAATTGGAAATAGATTTTTATGCTAGTTTCAAAGTAACGGTAATAGGTGTATGTAATGCGATAGAATTTTGAGCAATAGATACTTCTCTCCATAAGGCCACAAACCAGTTCTTCGTCCACAATCGAATGGTTTCATGTCACGATCCATCGGGGAGTGACATTTCGACCTCTGTATCACCATTTGCTTCACCGGAGCTACAGTCCACAGGTTGCTTCGCTTTCGTGCCGGCGTCGGATGGGAGTGAGGAAGGAAACGAGGGCCTCACTGCAGCTGTTGCAGCCGCCGTTGCCTACCTCCAACCTCTACCACCGCCCTCGCACCCGCCTTCGCATCCTCCGCCATTGCTGTCGGGGATTCCAAATCAGCGCCGTTGGCTTACTGGTACCACGGTTACGGCTGCTACCACTCCCGCGTCCTCTGCTATGGCAGACTATTCCACAGCAGAAATTAACCGTAATCTGGAACTTCTTACAGAGAAAGTCACGAAGTTGGCTATAGAGGGTGAGTTCGAGTTTCAGTGCACAAACTTTAAATGCCAAAGGTTAAGAAAAGTCTAAGTGTAGTTGTTGCTTTCGATAATCTCATTCCATTCGAATTCTTCAATCTAGTAGGGAATAAACCTCTGACTGACAATTGCTGATGCGTGAGGCTTCATTCTAGTCTGTCATCGATTGTTCAAGTAGGTCCATTTTCAATTCCATAGTGTAATCGACTGAATCCACTCAGTTGCAGTCTGAAGAACTGGTGCTGGCGGATCTTTTGTGAATATTCCTCTACTAGGATGCGTACAGGTCCAACCTTACCTCCTGAATCAGGACCGGAGTCTCGTAGCGCTTTTAGAAACTTGGAAACTGATTTGAGAATTTTCTTTCAACACTCAAACCTTCTCAGTTCCACTTCACCTGGGATATTAGCGATATCGACAACACTTGGAGTGTATTTAAATTGATCCGTAGTATGCCTTTTGGTAGCCTAGTTCACCTTAACTCTTCTAACTGGATTATGACCTCTGAATTCAAATGCAACTTACCTGCTCATCGTTGAGTGGTTTCCGTTTGCATAGCTCTTGCTACGGTGCCACTTTTCACTTGTGGTCTGTGTTCTAGTCAGTTGTTTCAACTCAGCTAAATTTGACTCGTACTGATTAACGAGGAGCTGTCACCACTCTCATTTGGGATTATTAATAGTATTTAGAGATTGAGCAAAGTAAAATATTCTCCTCTTTCAGAGTCTGACTCCCCGAGTGAATAGAACGTCGCTTTTCTGTCGATTTGGGACAGCGTCTTTTGCACGTCAAAGAAACTCGGCCACCCCTTCTCAGCTTCTCCACCTCTTTCTTGTGCATGAAGCTATTGCTCCTCCTTTCCTGTGGCTAGTCTCGCAGGCTTATAACCTTCTGGTCACTCAATGCGTTTTTATGCAGCTAGTCACGTAAAGCTGGACTTTAATTTATCGCTACATTTTGAGAAACATCTACCCATCGCATACAACATAACACAACCCATCAGGCTGTGTCTCAAGCTGGTCTTGTGCATTTTATTTGGTTGTTCTACTCCAAGCGCAGAGTATGTTGTTTCCCTCTCTTCTCTCTCCCCTTTCCCCACATTTTGCTTTTCTAAGTTCCGTTTTTCACCTCACCTTGACATTTTTGGCGGAACAGGCAACGAGAAAGCTAGACCGCCGCCTACTTACCGTGACTAACTGTGCATCCTCCATCATGTTTATCACTAACGCAAGCACCACTTGTGATCCCAATTGCGCGTACATCCATCGTGTCTACTTGTTGTGCATATCAGCGCGTTGTTAAAAAACGCCAAGCATATTCTCCCACTGGTTTGTATCGTCCGATTGGTTGGTATTATAGTGCAGTACTCAAGGCCGTAAGATTTCAAGCCCTTATACGAAGTCGACAGATAACTTTGTGACTGTCGGACTTTCAAGGGACGCTAGAGTGCACACAGTGCACTGGTTACCACTGCGGCAAAAAGGCCGCGGTTAGTGACCTGCAAAAGAATCCTGAAAGTAGCCCTGTGCAGCACATTGATGTGTTAAGACTGAGGACCCTTAAAGGATCCGGCGATTAGATCGGGTGAGTAATCGTGGCACTGGTCTCTTGAAGCGCGTGCTTTGAATGTGTTGCAACGGATACAAGCAAGATAGGTAGCTTGAGGTGCGTACCGCTCTCGTGCTAGTAACCACAGCAAATGGTAAGCGTAAGTGTACGAAGCATCTGAGCTAGGTGGCACGCGGTCTACACGTAGTACTTTAACTTCAAGCTTTCTGTAAAGGAGGGACGGATGACTCGGCAACAGCAAGTGTTCACATGTCAAACAGAACCGGTTATTGAGTTCCATGATGCTCCACTTTTGGCCACTCTTTCCAAGGTCCAGTTGGGTAGGAATTTTGACCTTTGTCTCTATCATTCCGATTTTTACATAACTTTCTCCTCTAAATTCTATATAAATCTGTTACGCTCCTAAACACTAGTAGATGTATTGTATGAATTAATCGACAAATGAGATTTTTTTAGCTCCTCTCTCTTCCTTTGGGTGGACTTAAGCACCAAAGTGCAACGGAGTCAGAAATTTAGTACGATGTGGTACCGTAAAACGTGGCAAGCAAAAACCATGCTCTTCAGAGCATGCTGAGCCAAGGCAAGGCTCAATGCATTATTATCCCTCCAGAATATATGTATTCAGCCCAAATTGATGCCTTCTCCTACTCAGTTCAAAGTCACGAAGTGCTACATTCTTTCACTGTGTTATCGTGTAAATCAGAGGTTAATAACTACTCTTCCCTTTGACTACAGGTATTCGGCCATGTCTTTTGTCCCCTACTACCAAATAGGAAGGCTCAGCAAGTTAAATAGATGGAAGCGGGAAGCAAGTCAAGTTTTAAGTCAATCGAACCTGATTTTCTTCGTTTTTAGCTGACCAATGCTCCATGAGTAAGATGCATATTACCTTAGTTGGAAGAAATTCCGTCCCCAAAACGAAAGGACAGAGAATGACCTGTGGATTTGGCAACAATCCCAGTCCTGTGCTACACTGGAAGGTTATTAATAACCAAACTAACAATGCAGCTCTATGAGACTTCCCGTCTGGTAGGAGAAGGCACAAAGTTGGGTTGGGTATATGCATTCTAGGCGGATAAGAGAAGG